CATCACCAAATCCTGACTTTAGTCACTTCCCACCTTCCCTCATGCATTAAATGCTTCTTTGTGGCCAATGGGTTTGCTGCAGTAAACAGGTACTACTTCATTAAATGAAGCCTGGGATCCTGCTGTCACGTGATGATTTGCCTTTAATGCCTTGACCGCGATTTTGTTCGGCCTCGGCCTCGGCCTGCGCTTGAGGCCGAGATGACCATGCCTTAGCATTTCTTCTTTTATCTTTAGGAAGGCGGAGTACCCTGGCAAAACGCTGCGTTTCAGTTTTTACGAACAAGTGCCAGGGCCGAGAGAAGGGGCTCCTTCGGCCAGCTTATGGCCGTGATTTATCAGGCACAAACAGTTTTTGGTCCATTCTTATGGTTTGAATTTAGCATCCTACACCGAATGCACTTGTTCTCTACCTTTGTCTTTTCTAATACTTTGTTCTTCCTGCACACATATACCTATCAAATCAGCAACTGACTATATCTCCTTCTAAGCAATATAAGTAGTTTTCAACTGTCTATAAATGCTAGGCAGATAGCAAAGTGCACCTTCATGATTTCATCCACGTTGACTTTCAAAGCTTTCAATTTGTTTCCTATCTCAACCATGTTCAGAATGTGAGTCCTTATGCAGCCTTTTCCATTGTATTTCATATCTGTCAGTTGGCTCATGAGCGTGCCTATTTCTGCTTTCTTGGATCCTTAGAATTTTTCTGCAATAGCTTCAATGAACTCCTTAGCATTCTCAGTTTCAGTGATACTGCCTCTGATTTCTTATGAAATAGACATCCTCATGATCAGAATTGCCATCTTGTTACCCGTAATCCACTTTGCATATTTGTTGGTTGCACAAATCTCACGGCCTGGGTTCCGGGCTAAGGGGATGTGCGTTAACACGTGGCTTCCTGCTTTTGGATGCGGTGCGGTTGTGCGCGGGCGTGCCAGCACGGTCTACCGTGCGTCGAGATGGTGATGTGGATGAAAATGGTTAAGTGGTGCGCCTGTTTGGGTTCGACTCCTAATCAAACGATTGTGGCTGAGAGAGGAACTGATCTCGGCCATCAGGTTCATGGCCTGAGCTACAAGGCCGTTTAGTGGTGGTGTGGATGGTGGGTTTTGGGCATTGCTCCGGCGCGTTGCTCAGTGAGCGACGGTCGTATGATATATGGGGTGAATGAATGAGTAACAGAGATGGTGCTCCGGCGCCTTAAAAATCAAGGGTCGTATGATATATTGATGAATGAATTTTCCTTACAAACTAACACTACTCCTAGGAAAACAAA